TAAAAACTCTTACAAATTAATCTAAGTATGCTCTTACACTTCTTCAACAAGGCATTAGAATTGGTTCAGCCATTGAAAAAACCCAGAAGCAAATATCCCTTTCCTCTTAAATTTCAATTGATCGGGTTTATAACCAAAAACACTGAATAATTTGGTGGCTAAAACTAATTATTGAAGCATTTTTGGTATGGTTTCAATTGTTAAAAATGAGAATTTTTTTTTTTTTTTGATTTGCTACATATCGGTTTCGGTTAGACCCGAAACCAAGCCATGCTCAGGTCTAACCGAGTGGGTGCAAGCAGTACTGCTTCCACCCACCCTATAGGCCAAGTTCGAGTGTTCACATGTGATTAGAAAAAATTTTACATGAAAAGTGTAAAGTGAAGAGCAAGCGTCTTTTATATATATATATGTGGAGACGAAATAACCTAATAGGCTAATTTTTAATTCGAGAAGCTTCTTTACATTTTAAAACCATATTTTAGTATTTTGTAGGCTACATTGAGAGGTGAGAAAAATAAAAAGGACTCTGTCATTTTCTATAATCCAAACAAAACGGCCAAGGACAACGGAAAATGACATATCCAATAAGAAACTATTGCCATACGAATGGTACTCAAGAATTTGACTGGTTGGATAAGCGTCCGAAATTGATCTTCATCATCTTCTCATCCATATCATCACATAAAACAACATACTTAAAGGTCGAGATATTGATGAATCATCAAACCTATCTAAAAACCATTGGAGTTAGAGCTAAAGGGAAGTAGAATAATCGAATTTCCATCCCCCTCCTATATAAACCTAAGACAAATCCCACGACTTTGGAAGAGAGAATTCTTAAATTAATGCATACGTTTTGCTTTAGTTTTAGAAGGAGGCCAATCCCCCAAAAGAGCAAGCCTGGATTTCGTGCAACCTCGTAAATTGCAGAATACATGTAAGATCTATCTCCCTCTTTTTCTCTCTTGGGTTGGAAGTATAATTAATTATATCCATTTCTTCAAGGATTTAGGAATACAATTGATTTTGCGCTTTTTCTCTTTTCCCTGTTAACTTATGGCTCGAGTTTGGTGCTTGGTGGTCCAAAGTCCTAACTATGACATACTCTTTATAACACACTTTTAGCAGTGAACTCAACACATCTATTTGTATCATATAGCAGTTAAGGATTTAGAGTAAGTGCTACACAAAATTAAATTCTAAAATGCCCATGAGGCGTGTGAAGTTAAACTTAGTAGTTGAGGTTAGAAATAATGCACTCCAATCAAATGGGGGTACTAACAAAATACCAACGTCAAGTGGGGTACAAACGCACTTATGATGTGATAGGGAACAATTTAGATGCGTGTTTGATGCGTAAATACAAGACTTTTTTTGTGTGTCTCAAAAAAAAAAAAAAAAGAAATTTTCTTGTGGTGGAAAACAATTAATTTGAATGCTAGGCGGCTGCGCCAAAATTCCTTTGCACACTCGTCGGCGTCTTTTTGGATGTATTATTTCTTTCTTAAATAATTCTCATAATTTTTAATTTATTTTAAATTAATTTTTTTATTTTTTAAAATAAATTAATTTTTTTACTTTAATTTATATTTATTTAAGTGTTTAATTACAAAATTATCTTTATATTTTTTATTTTATTAAAAATATTATAAATAAATACAAATTTTATCTTAAATTCTTAATTAAAAAATAAAAAATAACTCTTTTTTAAAAAAAAAATATAAAACATAACTATTTTGGCACAATGGCAATATTAGCTAGTGGTAAGACAAACTTAGGACAATGAAAGTACTTGCTTGATTGACATCGAAATTCAACGTGTATGTATAGGCACTTGTTTTAAAAATAATTTTTTTAAAGTTTAAAATTTTATTAGAAGAAAATTTAAAAATTAATTTTTAAAATGAATTTTAAATACTTTTAAAAAATTTTAAGATACTTAACTTTTTAAAAAGTTAATTTTTCAGTTTTTTAATAAAATTTTAAATTTATAAAAAATTTATTATTAGAAGAAGTGATTTTTAAATTTTGTCAAACACCTTTATATTCTACCTCAAAACAAAAATGTTATACTACTCGCTACTTACATTGTGTACACAATATTGTAAGATTATAGTTATGATTTATTGTTACAAGTATATAATTGATTTTCTTGTTTAAAAGTGTATATATTATGTATATTGGTAAATATTTAAAAGTATATTTACATAGTTAATATTATGTTATCATTATAATTTTATAATATTACATATTATGACGCTATAAATCTTACATTAATGATAAAGTATGAATGAATTTGATATATGAATGACTAGCTACCAATATAAGTGAGTATCAATGAAAAAACTATAACACTTTAAATCTTATATTGTAAAAAATTATAAATAAATTTGATATATAAATATAAAAATCAATTATTATTAACAACTTGAACGTAACCTTCCAATGATAGGTTTTGGCTCAAATCATATAGATGAGATATGAATTAAGACCATCTTGTTGTAGACACACAAATTGAATAAAGTAATATAACTTTTAATATTAAAAGATCCACCATCAAATAGTTTAAATTATCTAGTTTAGTGCATTAGAACATTCTTATGGCCACTCAAAATTATGTTAGAGCCACATAGTTTATGGTTATTTTATTAATTTATAATTTTTTTAGACAGTTTATTATAATATCTAAACATATTTATTTATAAATTAATTTTAATTTATTAAATAATAAATATTATCTATTTAATTAATTATTAATTATTTTTAATAATTAAATTAAAATAAAATTTTTGACAAGTTGGTGGCCTTAGGAAATTTAAGGGTGCCCGTAACTGCAACCTCTATTTTTGAAGCAAAATCTGTTCCCACAACCATGGGTTTAATTCCCAGCTCAAAATGGCAGTATCTGTTTTGTTTTTGTTTTTGGTTTTTTTTTTTCCACAAAATATTTTATTTTTAATTTTGTGTGTAAAAAACAGGTACGAATAGAGTTTTTTTGAACTGAAGCTAAATATAAGGTACGAATGGATTGTAACAACACATAACTAATTTCAATGTTAAAAAATATAAAATAGAAGACACAAACTGTATATTTTGTTTCCATGCAGGAAGTTGCTCGGAGGACGGGAGCAACCAGCGTGTGGTGTTGTGGCAAACTGACGCTTCTCCTCTTATCGTCACAAAACCAGAACTAGAACCAGGGACCCAGAAATTTCTGAAAGAAAGCCATGGAGAACGGCGGTGTGGTGAACCGTGAGGTGGAGCCAGTCTCAACTATTACCATTAAAGGGATTCTGAGCTTGATGATGCAGAACATTGATGAAGAAAATGGAAAGAGGGTGATTTCTTTGGGTATGGGTGACCCTACTGCTTATTCTTGTTTTCACACTACTCCAATGGCCGGTGAAGCTGTTGTTGATGCCCTTCAGTCGGAGAAGTTCAATGGTTATGCTCCAACTGTTGGCCTCCTCCAAACAAGAAGGTAAACTTTTTCAATTTCCCCCAATCATTGTTATAATAATTTCCTTGTTTGGTGGAAATTATGGGTTCTTTCTGTGGGAATTGCATGTTAGAATCAAATTACTTCATGCTTCTTAGAATCAATTCATCTCTGATTTAGCACAGTTTGACGATTGCAATTGAAATTGCAATTGAAAGTATTTCTGGGTTGTTTTGGCTTCATAGAATTCAGCTTCACTTTCTTCCATCTTCAGGAGTATGATTGAAATTTATTGTAATTCAGAACTACTATTTTGGATGGATATTCACTTTACCCACCAACAATTTTTCTCCTCCATGAAGGGAGTTGAGCTTTTTCCATTTTCAGTTAGGAAATGGACTCCATTTCTAAGTTTGGAAAGTCAGTGCTTGTTATGTAATTGGAATATTCTTACTGTGTTTTCAGTTTTCAATTAACAGGGCAATTGCGGAATATCTGTCACGTGATATTCCTTACAAGCTATCACCTGATGATGTTTTCATCACATCAGGCTGTACACAAGCCATTGATGTTTCATTGGCAATGCTTGCCTACCCTGGTGCAAACATCTTGCTTCCGCGGCCAGGATTTCCAATTTATGAACTTTGTGCTACCTTTAGATTTCTTGAATTTCGGTACTTTGATCTTCTTCCCGAGAAAGGTTGGGAAGTTGACCTTGATTCTGTTGAAGCACTGGCAGATCAAAATACAGTTGCCATTGTAATCATAAACCCTGGTAATCCTTGTGGGAATGTATACTCTTACCAACATTTAAAGAAGGTTAGTATCTTAGCACAAGTACTATGAAAATAGGAAATCTTTATGAGACTTGATTTGCATTTCAGACCGACTGATTGGAGTAACTCAGTTGTTTGTGTATTGAACTTAGATTGCAGAAACCGCCAACAAGCTTAAAATTGTTGTTATTGCTGATGAAGTTTATGGACACCTTGCTTTTGGGGCCAATCCATTTGTCCCAATGGGAGTTTTTGGCTCAATTGTTCCTGTCCTAACCCTTGGATCTATATCAAAGAGATGGATAGTGCCTGGCTGGAGACTTGGTTGGTTTGTGACAAGCGATCCAAGTGGCATGTTTAAAAAACCCAAGGTTCTTTCTCTTTTTCTCTGATATGAATATTCTTTAAATTGTACTTCTTTTTACCTCTACTTCGATGATTACAAACTTCAGTATCTTCTAATGTTCCACACACTAGTCACATATGAGTACTCATTCTTTGATGGATAGGTTGATTTCAATACTTAAACATGACTTTTTTCTCTCAAGTATAATGATTGAATTTCTTTATTGGCCATTAAACAAATGGAATTGAATTTTGTGAATCTTGCACATTCTCAGTTACTAGCAAAGTACTGTTTCTGTGCCAACCATTTAAACATTGAACCTGCCATGCATTAGTAACATTACATCTGCTGGTAGAGTGATTGGCTGTTCATAAATAAGTGTCAACTTCATTATTGGTTAACCACCTACTGTCTTGTGATTTTTAATGTCTTACTACTTATCAAACAGATTGTGGAGCGTATTAAGAAGTACTTTGATATTTTGGGAGGACCTGCAACTTTTATTCAGGTATTTCTTGCGTATTTGTGTATAAACTGCTGAGACATACATCTAATTAAGTGCTTACCCCATGGATAAATATTTTTAACCATTGACTTTTTATGTTTGTGATTTTGCAAATACATTTCACAAAGTACTCATGTGGCCTTTTTGGTGTCATAGGCGGCAGTTCCCCATATTATTGAACATACTGATGAGATTTTCTTCAAGAAAACTCTTAGTATTCTGAAGCAGACCTCAGATCTCTGCTGCGAATTAATTAAAGATATTCCTTGCATTACTTGTCCACATAAACCAGAGGGATCAATGGCTGTAATGGTAAGGAAGTAGTAGAGGGACTATCAGAAAGTTAACGGTTTCATAAAGAAATCATGCTTATTCCATTATAATCGTATTGCAGGTGAAACTAAATCTTTCCTATCTGGAAGATATCAGTGATGATATTGACTTCTGTTTCAGACTGGCTAAAGAGGAATCTGTCATTGTTCTCCCAGGTAAGAAAAATATATCAGATTCATAGTAAGAGCTTGTTCTGCACTTCTAGATGTGAATGCAATTTCTGTTTTCTTCTGTAGTTCTACAAGTGATTCCTGGATTCTTCATCCAATATCTTTGATTTTGTTCTTTTCCCTCTGAAGAGTGAAGACAATCATGTGTAGCATTTCTCATAAAAGTCAAAGCTCTGTTTCTCTTTTTGTTGATGGTAACAGATTGCTCATTTCCTCTGATGATGAGTGAAAATTCTTAAATTTTCTTGCTCCATCCTAAAAGGAAGAAAAGCAAATGAAAATAAGATTTAGCTCTAAGTTACTCCTGCCAAAAGCAGCTTTACATTCTTCCAGTTTCCAAAACAGTATTGTCATTTTGTGTACTGGAGGCAAAACTTTAGCTGTAAGCTAAAGAATTTAGCAACAATCTGGAAGTTAATTATCGTTAAGTATGTGGCTTGAAAAAAGAAATAAAAATAGAAAGCCAAACAAGAAAAGTTAAATGTAGTTAATTACAAAATTTCCAAATTTCTTTGCAGGCACTGCAGTGGGGCTAAAAAATTGGCTCCGCATCACTTTTGCTGCTGATCCATCCTCACTCAAAGAAGCACTTGGAAGAATAAAATCATTCTATCAGCAGCATGCTAAGCTGACACAAACAAATTAGCAATTGAAGTCCTTCAGCTAGGCTGCTTACAGAAACTGTATATTGGTTCTTGCTCTTGGCAGTTCTGTAGTAAAAAATAATGTTAATATGCAACAATTTCATTCACATCCTCATTAATTTATTATCATTACTAAACACTCACAATCACAATTCTTACAAATTGGATTGCTAGGAACAATATTTCGCTTGAAATTTATATATCATCCACAGAGGTAATCATGACAAAATAATGAACTGCATACTCCTCATTTATTTCTTATGTACTGAAATGAACTTCAAGCTGCAATAAATCTTCTTTACATGCTTTACCAGGAACGTGTGTTCTGTGTCTGAAATTAGCATTCCCTGACTTTAGCTTGTTTTCTTGGTTACATTTCTGTTCTACTGAATTTGTTATTCTGTTGTCAACTCAGTATTCAGATACTATATTAAGTGGGGTTGAATGGAACTTGGAAGCAATAAAATCTTTAGAAGCTCTTAAGTTAGCTTCTGTATTCATCTGGTCTTCATTTTCCTGTCTTTTTCTATCTTTTTTATGGATGTGGATGAAGAAGAAAATACCAAGAATGCCTTTGGAGTTATGGCAAACAATTTGAACTAATCTTTTTTCTTCATCATGTTTTGCATATATTAAAGACAAATGATTGGGAAGGATTTCTCTTGTATTAGATACTCTTTGGAAAGAACAAAATGGTTAGCTGCCAAATGCTGTCTAAAGTTGTTTTATTTATTACCTTTGCTCTGCCATTTTTATTCTATTTTTTTCTTCAATAGAAATTTTTTTAAAAAATAAATTAGTTGTATAACGTGAGGTCATTATTTTTAACTTTAAATCTATCACTTTTTTTTTTTAAAAAAAAAAATTGGTTGTATAATGTAAGATAACTATTTTTTATCTTTAAATCTACCTTTTTTTTTGGATGAAATGTGAAATTCATTTAATAACATTTCAATGTACAAGTTAACAGCCATATATAGTTACCATAGAAGAAAAATCAACTAATTTGTATTTATGTGACTTGAGTTTAAAATATTTTATTTACATAGAAAGAGATTATTTATGACTAACTAGGCTACTTGGTGGTTGGCTTTTCATCAATGAAATCTTAACGAAAAAATAATGACATTTTTTAATAAAAAAGACTTCACTTTGCAATTTGCACCTTGTAGTTTTGACCTTTTATCACTTGTATATCTAAGTTTTAAGAAGTTTCATTTATAGGCTTACAATGGTAAGCTGCCTTTTTTTTCTTTTTCTTTTTTTTTTCTTTTTTTCTTCTTATGTGCATGATGCTATATAGGTGTTAGCATGTCTAGTATTTACCAAGATTGTTGGACACAAAAATAAGTAAAAGATGTTGATATTAGTAATCAACAACAAATGATGTGCCATGAAGAGATATTCATCACTCTAATAAGAAAAAAAAGACATTAATTTATTCCCATTACAATTGGTATGATTGAGTAGATTAATTTTATTTCGGAATTATGATTGCAAAGGATATTTGGACTTTGATTTTATTAGCATATTATCAACCTTATGTAACAATGTAAGCCAAATGGGTGCAACTGAAATTTTTTAAAATATTGGCATATGAATGGAGAAGCAGAAAACTTCAGGGTGCAAAGTGAAATTTTATCTACTAATTTATTCAATTCCTCAGAAAAGCAAGAGGGACAGTATTTTTTTCTTTTATTTTTATTTTTATTTTTAAACTTGGAGTTACTCAAACCCATAGCTACCAAACCTAGCGTGAGATACTGTTCGCAATAGAAAAGTGGTTACCAAACAATAAGGACGTTCTTGCAAGAGGAACAGTATTTGAACAGTCCCCTAGTGGATAATCATATACCATCCATAGACAAAGATTAGTTGGTTGAAATGTTGTCTCGTTCTATTCCTCAAACTATTGGTGGAATTCGTCTACCGGTCCAAAAGCTGAGAGACAAAAGGAAAATTGCCGAAACAAAAATGGATTCCATCTTATCATCAAGAATTGTTAATTTGGTATCATCCAGATCCATTGACCTTCTACCCTGAAGCTCTTCTTCTCTCCATCTCAAAAGGGTCTCTTTGATATTTGGTTTTCTCCACCATGGCAGACTGCAAAACTTGTTCTAATCAGAAATCAAGTGACCCTTCTGTTTTCTCTTTCCTTTTTGTTTATCCCCTTTTGTTTTTGTCGACTTTCTTTGGGTGTTTTCTTGTGAAATTTATTCAATGTTTCTTGTGTTTTTGAAGATGAAATGGCTGCATTGGAGGTTGAAAGTGGCAGTGAGCCTAGGGTTCATGTCTTCTCATCTTCATCAGAGGTGAAAATTCAAAAACTTTTCTTTTGTACAATTTGACTTTTTTTTTTCTAGTCGAATTAAGTTTTTTGGGTCCATTTCTGTTTCATTATATACAGAAGAACATGGTCTGCTCTGTGGATGAACTGTTGGCTGTAATGGAGTTAACTGGATACCTGATACCAATTACATCTAGGCTACTAGAAAAATTGCATTTTTGTGATACATAGTGATGATTGCTAACTTAATTTAGCAGAAATTACAAATGGTCAAAAGTCAAAACCAATTCTGTACTTATGGCTAAGATTGATCAGAACTTTGAACTGGGAAGCACTTCAAGATGCATTCATGCCCAATTTATCAAAATCAAACAACTTTAAAATGGTTTCTAGGCAGCAGGTTTTACAGAATCCCAATCATGTTTTTCTGGGTTTCTCATTTATCTATTTGGTAGCTGTTTGTTTTTAGGAGAAAACTTTCTTCTTGTTATCGTTTAAGATTTCCATTGTTTTTCTGTTTTAGTTAACCTTCTTGATCTTTCTGTCCATACTATTTTATTGATCAGTTGCTTGAAAAGCTGCACGAGAAGTGGAGTTTATTGGAGAAGCAACCATACCCTGCTTTCTATTCTAGTGTTTTTGGTGGGATCATTCTTGATCCAGCTATGATGGTAATTCCCATGGATGATCACATGGTTCATCGAGGCCATGGTGTGTTTGATACCGCTATCATTCTTGATGGGTAGGCCTAATATATTACTCTTCAACATGGTTGTTTAGCACATCTTTTATTGAGACTACGTATCACCAATGCTTCTAGGCTTATAACATTTTTGCTTAACTTTATGATAGCTACCTCTATGAGCTGGATGCTCATTTGGATCGCTTCCTCAGATCAGCAGCAAATGCAAAGATCTCCTCTCCCTTCCCTCGATCAACTCTTCGTAGCATTCTTGTGCAATTGACAGCATCATCTCAGTGCAGGAAGGGAACTCTAAGATACTGGTTGAGTGCAGGTCCTGGGGATTTCTTGCTTTCATCCGCAGGATGCCCAACATCTGCATTCTATGCTATAGTTATTAATGATAACTTCTCCCAGTGCAAAGAAGGGGTTAAAGTGATAACTTCCACCATCCCAATGAAGTCACCTTTGTTTGCCACAACGAAAAATGTAAATTACCTGCCAAATGTTCTGTCGAAAATGGAAGCAGAGGAGAAGGGAGCCTCTGCGTCTATTTGGGTTGATGAAAAAGGTTACATTGCAGAAGGTCCTAATGTGAACGTGGCTTTTATAACCAGTGATAAGGAGCTTATTTTGCCTTTGTTTGATAAGATCCTAAGTGGATGCACTGCAAAAAGACTTCTTGAATTAGCACCTAAGTTGGTTGAGCTGGGTCATCTGAAGAGTGTCAAAACTGCCAATCTTACTGTTGAGGAAGCCAAAGCTGCAGCTGAGATGATGTATGTTGGTAGCACCTTACCAATATTGCCAATCATCATGTGGGATGAACAACCCATTGGAGATGGTGTGTACTATTTCCCACTACCAAGATTATCTTTCTTGTTGGTAATTAGAAGTCCTTAATTAGGCATTGCCATTGGTTCCTCTTTTGGATGACGTAGACGTATATCACTTTAACTTTTCATCTTAGACCTATATCACTCTTAACTTTTCATTCTATCCAAATCTATATCTCTCATATGGAACTTGGACACTCTGGATATCAGGGAAAGCATTACAAGAATTGAACATACTTACATGCCCTGTGTTGGAGTGGCATCTTAAATGGTTATTATTTTTTGTATTCCTTCTTACAGGAAAGGTTGGAGAATTGACAATGGCACTCTCAGATCTGCTTTGGGATGATATGGTAGCTGGCCCTGAAACACAGAGGTTTGCTGTTCCCTATGGTCAATGAACCCAAGAGTTATCCGAGGCAGCTGAAGGAGTGGTTTCATCTTGCAATTAGGTTTGCCATTGCTAGTTGTTTCTGCTGCATCTCCTAGTTGGAAGCTGCCGTGGTGTATGCCTAGTTGTTGCATTGCATGGGCCGTTAATCTCTTAAACTTTGGTTTCTTTGTCAATAAATATGAAGATACAATCTTGTGGTGTTGATATCCCCCAACCACATTTGAAAAATCAAAGATTACCTAGTTGATGCGTGATGAAATTTGTAGATCCCATATATTAGTCCTCTCAGCATGGGAAGATGCATAACTGATTGCATCCGGTAAACCAAGGGAAGCAACCTCTAAATTGTTAAAGACTTGGCATTGAGGCCCCTCACATCACCATGAGGTTGTATCAAAGCTAAAGAGCATGACGACCATGGGCTCTTTTTGTAATGACAAAAGACAAGGAGTTTACCAAAGCTGTATCTTTAGAATAAAGACATTTTTTTTTTTTTATGTTATTTGTTTTTCAAAAAAATAAAATTTTTTTATTTAATTATTTGTTTAATTAAAATAATCAACCTAACATTAATGATGAAATTAATGTTAATTTTTATCATTAAAAAGATCAACTTTAATATTAAAAAACCTACTCTTATCTAATAGTATAAGGTTGCTAGAAACTACATAATACTATTTTGATTTTTTGATTGTTCCCATTCCAAATAATTGAGATGTTTTATAAATTCTAAAGTAAGCATCTCTCTTAAATTTGAGACGCACAAGCTTGCATTAAAGCATGTATAAAGGGAGATATTTCCATATAATTTTAAAAAAATCTCTTAATCTAATTGATTCTCAAGTCTCTCAACACATCTTTAATAATTATAGCATTTTGTGTGATCTAATTAATAAATTTATTAAAATATTTTTAATAAAAATCTTTCTCATGTTATTTTATTAATAGAATAATAAAACTCATATTTATATTATTTTATTAATAATATTTCAATAATTTTAATATTTAAATTATACTTTTATTATAAAATTTGACGTGAAAAACATTTTACTTTAAAGAAGATATTCTTAGATTTTTTAAAATAATTTCTTTAAATAATTGATAGTTGATAATTGATATTTGATCAATAATAATAATTAATATTCTTAACTTAAAATATTTAATTTATTTGTTTAAAATTAAGAATTAATAACTGCTTTCAACAAATGAAAACAAAAAACCGCACCGTTTTATGGCGAATATATTCCCTCAAATCCGTTAAAAAAAAAAAAAAATCCATTTTACTAGCATTTTTAGTTTTTACTTTTACCTCTTCCCTCCAAACTAGCATCCCCGCCAAAACACACCAGGCTCTCCAATGCCCGAACCGGCAACCGGGCGATCGGAAAATGACATCAACTTCAGCGTCTCGCCCCGACGGAATTGCCGGAAGAATCAGAAACGCAGCTTCTACTCTTTACTCTGACAATCAAACTCTCATTACTGTAAGCGTTTCTCGATTACGTTTCTTCACGAAATACTCGAGACACTCTTTGGAAAGCAACTAAACTCACATTGCTCCAAATTCCTTTTGTTTCAGCATTTTTCTTGCATTTTTCAGAAATATCATTATTGATGTAATTTTTTCGGTCCCAAAATTTGGACCCCTAACTTTTCCCCCCTTTTTTTTGTTCAATTTAGTTTTTTTTTCCCTGAATTTTATAATTTTATAGTTATTTAGAACAACATATTTCATGGTTTTTATTTTTTTTATTTTTTGGTTTTATGAAAAAAAAATTTGCTTTAAGAGATCGAGTGTGTGGGGTATTTTGAGTTTGAGAGCAAGAGTAGTGCTTTTGAAATACTAACAAGTTTTCCTAGCTTTAAGTTCTAAAAAGTTTCCAATGTCTTGTGTCATCAGGATATGCTGAAGGCGTTTAATATGATGAAGGAATTCGCTATTGATTTGGAGAGAGAAAATCAGTTTGAGATGGTATTTTAGCTGAAAACCCTCATTTCTTCATGTATGATTGTCCTTATCAATCTAGCTGCTGCAGAGATTTGGAATGTCAATGAATTATAGTTTTGAATGATATCTTTTTTCCACTCAGTAATATGCAATATGCCATTGAATTGACTACTTTTTTGTTCTATATAGATAAACTTCTCACCTTATAATAACATATCTCTCGCGGTTTTTGATGTGATCTGATTAAGTGTAAATCAGTGTGCTGTATTTGGTAATTGGGCTATGTTTGAAACCAGAAATAAGTAAACATATTCTTAGATTATATTTTAGAGAATTGCATTTTAGGACACTTTTAGACCTCTGATTGGCAACTTAGAAGTCAATCCAAGTGGGGCTTTTGCTTGTTGAGAAACCAAAACATATGGTTGAATATTTCTCTCCTTATTTTCATTTGACTATAGCAGAGTGCTGTCTAATAAGTTGATGGATCAGCTTTAGTGTCATTGCTGTTCTATTGTGCTGTTTAATTAAGTTGTCAATGGTCTTAATTTAGGTTGATTGCTTTATTTCTTTTTTATCCCAAAAACGTTTATGCTTCATGCAAATGGGGCTTCTTTTGTAACTTTGCATAGTTTGTGAGAACTTCTGGACTGCATATATTCCCTTTTTCCAAACCTGAAAAGGAAAAAGGAGGGTAAACAGAATTGAGAGTTTGAATAATCACTGAAAAACTTTGAAGATAATCAGAGCAGGGGGTACCAGTGCGTGAAATTGATAATTTTACATTTTGCATGTGCAGTGTCTTGGAGATGCTGTTGTTGAGTTGTTAGAAGCTTATGAAGATTGTAAATGTTGTTCATCAGCCATTCAATCTGTTGGAAATATATACCAGCCTGGGACTGAGGTGCTTCAATTCCTTCTATCAGGCATGATTTTAGTAATGCCACATAAGATTCACTTTGATGTTTCTGATAGCTAGATGCTGCTTATTTGTTTACTCACAGTTAACTGATTTTTAAGAAGTTGCTTGAGGATGAGTTCACAAAGCTCAAGGCTAGTTCTTCTTCAGTTCTGCAGAATCATCCGCTGATATGCCAATTTTGTGAAGCTGTCTGGGTCTGTGTTGCTGAGAGCCTGAGATTAGTGCAGATTTTTTAAAATTTTCAGTGAAGCTAGCTTATCAAAATGATGAGCATCCTATTAAGAATTATTTCACTTGATCTATGCTTTTACTTCTTGCTGAAACACATTAAGTTGATTTTTGTTTGTTTAAAGCACTGGAATTCTTTTAAGATCTAATCCTGTTGGAATTCCAGACCAAAATGGCATTGTACTTCACAGCAGTTTTTATCAGATAGACTGATAACATTTGCTATGGAGTGATTATGATGAATTATAGTGATTGTTTGATGATTATGATGGATTATAGTGATTGATTGTTGTCAAACAATTTTACTCACTTGTTTCAACCAATAAGGTTTATGTTAAAAAGGAAACATACATACTGCTGCCAGTTTATGCAGTGAACATGCACGCACAATCTAATCAACCACATTTAGACACACAAGTTGTATGTGCTAAATTCAAGAGCTGTAGCTTATATGTTTGTGGGCCATACTATTTTCCTTGTAGAATGTTCATCATGCTGGAAAGCCAATGCCAGGTGAAGAGCAGGAGGATATTGTAATGACCAGTACTCAGTGCAACATTTTGAATGTTACTTGTTCATTGATTGGAAAGCCCATTACTGAACTAGTTGAACCTGTTCGCAGGTATTGTGTCACTAATTTTATATCTACCTTGTTAAGTTGTTTTTATTTTATTTGGTCTAACTTAATGTAGTGTTGGAACTTGGATGAGAACTTCTTTGCCACATAGAATGTTTCTTGTTCTCCTTATTTTTCATTTTCTGCTAAAAGTATGAATGTTATGCTATATTGAGTAAATTTTACCTAATCCTAGTAAGCATGCCTTCCCTTTCTTTCTTTTTCTCTTCTGTTTATCCTGGTTGTTTATTCTGTGAATGCAGTTTGGATTGCAAGCATATTTATGAAAAAGATGCAATCGATATGTACATGAAATCCAAGAATTCCAAGTGCCCTGTAGCAGGTAAACAATTTTGTTTATTTGTTTTTATTAAAACCTTATAATTGGATTTGGTGGACTAGTCTGAACTTAAACCATTTTTTTCTCTTGTTAGCGTGCCCTAAGATACCGCGGCCAGAAAAAGTGGTCTGCGGCCCAACATTACACCATGACATTGAAGAAATGCGATCAATGAGCAAACAAACAGCCAAGGCTGATACGATAGAAGATGTTACTGTGCCTCTCGATGACACTAAACATAGTGGATGATGAAAGCTGTTTCTAT